CAATGATTGTATGTTGCTTTTGAGATCATTAATTGAGCTTATACTGTGAATACAAATTGTATGTAAATTTTTGAGATCTGAGTTACAAAACATGATAAACAGTATTAAACAGTATACTTTGGTTAAAGTAGAAATTAAGATAGTTTAGCTTTCAAGAAGAATATATATCCTGATTTTCTTTTTTGTTTTTGTTTTTATTTAATATTTATTACAATTTTATTCACTTTGTATCCAGGCTGTAACCGCCTCCCTCATCTCTTCCCCAACCCACCCACATTCTCTCTTCTCTCCTTTTGCTCCTCCCCTAGTCCTCTGATAGAGGAGGACTTCCTCTCCTTCTATCTGACCCTGGCCTATAAGGTCACATCAGGACTAGTTGCATCATTTTTCTCTGTGGCCAGGCAACTCTGCACCACCCAGGGGGAAGTGATCAGACTCAGCCACTAATTTTATATCAGAGACAGTTCCTCCTCCCCCCTCCCTTTCTAGAGAACCCATTTGAAACCTGAGCAGCCTACAGGCTTCCTTTGAGCAGGGGGTCTAGATTCTCTCCATGCATGGTCCTTGGTTGTAAGATCCATCTCTGCAGATCCCCTTGAACACAGTTTTTTATTTGTTTGTTTTGTTTTGTTTTTGGCTCTGTTGGTATCTTTGTGGAGCTCCTGTCCCCTCCAGGTCTTTCTATCTCCCCCTTCTTCCATAAAATTCCCTGCACTCTGGTCAAAGTTTGGATATGAGTTTCAGCATCTGCTTCAATACCCTGATGGGTAGAGTCTTTCAGAGTTCCTCTGTGGAAAGCTCTTGTCCTGTCTTCTCCTACTTCCAATGTCTATTCTTTTCACCCTTCTAAATGAAGATTAAGCCTCTTCCCTAGGGTCCTCCTTGTTATTTAACTTCTTTAGGACTTTAGATTTTAGTATGTTTATTCTATATTGTATGGAAGAAGAATTTTTTAATGAAAATTGAGTATCTCACTCAATACAAGCTATTAAATGACTAAAGCTGTAGAGAAATATCAAGAAGAGGTCTTTAAAGGGGTACCATTTTCTCTATATGATAGACTAAATTAGACAATTCATCTACCAAAAAGGATATTGGATATTTCAATCTTCTAGAAGAGAGGATTTGACTGAACCAAAGAACTTATCCTTTCACCTCAAGATAAAACTTCCAAGATCAAAAGTGTTCTGAAATATGTATAGACATGCCAATATGGGCTGAAACCAAGAGGCTCGGGGAAATTATAGAATCAATATGAACCAATATTCTCATCTATTACTCCTCTGGGACAATAAAACACTGCATAAACTTGCCTCACTTTAAGGTGTGCTTAAAGTGCTTGGGAGGCAGAGACAGAAACAAGTTAAATCAGAAAATGAAAACCAGTTTGAATAACATTCATGAATGAATGGATATATTGATGTGTAGCTAGACAATAGATAGAATAGATAGGCAATAGATAGGTAGATGATAGATAGATGATAGACAGATGAAGAAATAAGAAAAAGAGCATCTGACTTCAGGGGCTTTAGTAATTACAGTGGTGATCATGTGCAATACAGACTGCCAAGCTGCCAGAATCTGAGAATTTATCTAACAGTATCAAAACACACACACGAAACTAAAATCACCCAAAACTAAAATCATGACCAACAAATCCCTATATCTTAAAAATGTTTTATGAAGGATAACCATTTTTAGAAGATGATCAGAAATTTTCACTTCTATTTTTCTTTCAAAATTTCTAATTTGAATTCTATAAAGAAAAAATATATCTTCATGTTTATTTTCCCAATTTTCTTTTATTCATTTAAAAAATATTTATTACAATTTATTCATTTTGTAACCCTGCTGTAGGTCTTTCCCTCATCTCCTCCTAGTCCCATCCACCCTCTCTCTTTCCCCCCTATTCCCCTTCCCTAGTCTCCTGATAGGCGAGGTCATCCTCCCCTTCTATCTGACCCTAGCCTCTCAGGTTTCATCAGGGCTGGCTGTATCATCTTCCTCTGTGGCCTGGCAAGACTGCACCCTTCAGGGGTAGGTAGTCAAAGAGCTAGCCACTGAGTTCACATCAGAGAAAGCCTCTACTCCCCTTACTAGGGAACACATTTAGAAACTGAGCAGCCTATGAGCTTCTTCTGAGCAGGGGGTCTAGGTCCTCCCCATACATGGTCCTTGGTTGGAGTATCAGTCTCTGCAGGCCCCTTGGTCAATTTTACTTTTTTTAATTAAGAAATTATTCTGCATAAGCAGTATTTAAGAAAACAGACAAAAATAAAACAATCTTATATGCAAAATCATGTTTTCAAACATATTTTGAAAAAACAAAGCTTTCTTCTCTCTTTCATAAAAGAAATATAAGAAATTAAATAGAGGAAAACATGCCATTTATTTGTCTATAAAGAATCAGAAAAAAAATATTCAGCAGTGGCAGAAGAGCAGAGCAGGAAGCTGACTGATCATATTTCATTCACACAGGAAGCAAAGACAGAGAGAAGGCAGGAAGTTGGGTGAGACTACAGATTCTCAAAGCCTGCTCACAGTGAAGAAGTACTTTCTCCAACAAGGCTCCAAATATTACAGTTTCCATCATTTCCCCAAAGTGGCCAAATGGGGACCTAGTGTTCAGATACAGGAGACTATGGGGAAATTTCTCATTCAGGCTACAATGTCTTACATTGTGTTATCAATTCGAATAGAATGTTCAAATAGTTTAAGACATTTAAAGAGTCCCATATCTCCTAAATCCTTTTACATTTCTGTCTTACTATCCTACATTTTGAATACTGTATTTTCACCACATTTTCAGTCTAACTACTTTGATTGTAGTGATATTGAGATTATGAATGGAAATGTGTTCTATTACGTTTGGTAATATATTTGAATTTTTATATACACAATTATTTCATTGATATTCTGTCACATAAATATGTATAGTAGTTTTCTTTTGTTGGTGTGTTTTGTGTTCCATTTCTTGAGCTTCTAAGAAATATTGAGCTCCTTGTGGAGTAACTGAATACCTTTGTAGATTTGCACAACAGATATAACTATATGACCACGGAAAAGAAAATTTCTCTGACCTTTCTGCTACATTTGTCAAGTGGGATAAGGGCATCAATGTCTGGGAGTTACATACAAATGGCACATCTGAAATTACATATTGCTATTTTGAATGAGTAGGCATGTGAATAGAATAATTTAAATTAATTGTTAATTCTTATTTATCTAAAGTAGGTTTATACACGTTGAATGGGACAAAAATAAGTTAGGTGACAAAAGCAAATTAAAAAAAAGAGTTCAAGTTTTACCTAACTATTAAAAAGAAGTATGAAGAAGAGCTTCAGATACAGTGGACCAGTGATGAAAATTCTATCAGACAGTCCCCAAAAGACATGTATGGCATGCCCTCACTTATAACTGGATATGAGCCATAAAGTTCGGGATAACCATACCATAATCCACAGACATAAAGAAGCCAAGGAGGGTCCAGGTAAAGATGCTTGAATCTCACTCAGATAAAGAAATAAATTAAACATCTGAAGCAGATGGAGAAAGGGGTCTGGATGGGAGAGGGCATTGGGAAGGATAGGGAGCAGGGTAGGAGGAAATGGGTGGGGTGGGGAGGACCAAGAGAGAAAATGGAAATCAGTCAGGGGGCAGAAAATCTCTGGGAAAGACTCCCAGAGTTGTGGTGGTGACTCTAGTTTAGACTCCTAGCAGAAAGGGTTAAGGAGCCTGAAATTGCCACCTCCTATAGCCAAGTGGAACTCCCAGTAGAGGAAGAGGGACACCAACTAACTCATAAAACCTTCAACCCCAAATTTGTCTTGCTTAGGAGAAGTATAAGGCTAAAGATGGGCAGAGATTGAGGGAACTCCAAACCAATGACAGGGCCAGCTTGAGACCCACACCTTGGGAAAGAGCAAACCGCTCTCACTATTAATGATATTCTGCTATGCTTACACACAGGAGACTAGCGTAACTGTCTTCTGAGAGTTTTCATCCAGCAGCTGAAGGAAGCAGATGCCGAGACCCACAACCAAAGAATAGGCCAGGAACAGGAAGTTCTGTGGAAGAGTAGGAGGAAGGAGAGAGGAAACCAGAGGGGTCAAGGACACCACAAGAAGACCTAAGCTGGGACCATGGGGACTCACAAAGACTGAATAACCAACTAAAGACCATGCATGGACTGACTGGACCTAGACCCCACACAGATGTTGAAGATGTTCAGAGTGGTCAACATGTGGATCCCCTAACAACAGGAGTCGGGATTATCCCTCTCTCTGCTGCCTGGGTCTGGCCCCGGTGGGAAAGGAGGCACTTAGTCCTGCTACAACTTGCTACAGGGTAGGTTGATACCCCTTGGGTACCTGACAAGCAGGAGAAGGGGGAGTGGGGGAGGGCTGTGAGGGTGGGACTGGGAGGAAAGAAGGGAAGCAGATAAGATCAGGAATAAGAGAGAGAAAGAGAGAGAGAGAAAGAAAAAGAATTCTATCAGAATTTTTGTCTATCTGTCTGTCTCTTTCTTAGTCATAATAGGATAGAGTAACTATCGCCAAGCAATATAAAATATGGCCATATGTATCCAGACTTTAAACGTTATTGAATATCACAATCTCCTGATACTTAAAACAATCTGTCATATTTAAAAAGACAATGTATTGTTCTGTTCTGATCCAACTTCTGGCTCTTACAATTTTCAATTTTTTTTTTTTTTGAAATCTGTTTCGTGGTAGTTCCTGAGCCTTGAGGTGTGTGATGTAAATGCCTTATTAGTGTCTGAGCATGCCACAGTCATTTTCCATGTACACTGACCATCTGTCAGCTGTGTTTCTTTCTTTCTTTCTTTCTTTCTTTCTTTCTTTCTTTCTTTCTTTCTTTCTTTCTTTCTTTCTTTCTTTCTTT